CCCGTTCCGTTCCACCAACCCACGTTTCGGGCCCAGTGCGGTAAAGTATGGTCGAACGGTCACAACTGCCACGGCCTAGGGAGCCCGTTTATAACCCAAGTCTTCTTGCAATTCTGTGCATGTAAGGCAAGCTTATGAATCGATCATAATCGATGTGAATTGTTACACCCGCTACTGCAAACTCAATGACGGTGGGTGCTGTTGTTGTTACTGTGTAAGAGGCGTTGAAAGTTGGAAAGCTGCGATCGATTCGATTTTATTATTCGTGACGAATCAATTATTTAAACGAATATTTAACATCAACTGATAAAAGCCACGCAAAATCATTACATCCACCACCACCACATATGAAAATACAATTTTAAAAAAAATTAACACGTATATACCAGGCGATGTTTCGGGCAATGGCCCTTCTTTATGGCACATAGTGAGTCCAGAGAGAGTGGATAATGAGAGTTGTAAGCAGCAGCACTTTCCACCGTGGGGCCTGATTAGAATTCATTTTTAAAACGAATTCGGACGAACAGTTTTTTTAATTGGCATCTCAATAGTTACCGAGCAGTCGCCATTCTTACCAAATATCTGGAGGCATAGATTCGGTGCATGTTACAGCATGAGATAAATTATTCGATTTGAATTGATTCGCATCGTTAGAGACCTAACGCCGGCTATAAACAATCTCCACGCATAAATGCGATCGAGTCAGAAACCGATACAATTGTGCCTCACTGTGAGGCACAATTGTCACCACTGCACCACCCTGCAGTCCAGACGATGTATTTGGCTACAGAACTTTGACAAAGACCCCCCATGTAGCCTTAACAGACTTTTTGTGACAAGTGCTCTTCGCAAGTAGAACCTATGAAGGCCGGCACGGCACACGCCCGACCGCCTTTATCTCCAACAGTGGCGATGTTTACACACCGCACCAGGTAATCATTTGAGGCCGAGTCGACCTAGGGGAGGCTCAGGGACCGGTTCCAGATAACAATCGTCACTGGTGATGGCCGTGAGCGGGATTCGAACTCGGGGTCTCCGGGTTCCGCAGGGCAGCTAATCACTGCGACACTGCTTCCCTGCAGAACACAAACACACACCACACACACACACACCACGTGTTCATCTCACACCACACACACACCACGTGTTCATCTCACACACCACACACACCACGTGTTCATCTCACACCACACACACCACGTGTTCATCTCACACACCACACACACCACGTGTTCATCTCACACCACACACACCACGTGTTCATCTCACACCACGTGTTCATCTCACACCACGTGTTCATCTCACACACCACATATTCATCTCACACAGCACATATTCATCTCACACAGCACACACACCACGTATACATCTCACACACCACACACCACCACGTATACATTTCACACACCACACACACAGACCACACACACATACCACACACACACAGACCACACACACACACCACACACAGACCACGCACACACCACACACACCACACACACACCACACACACACCACACACACCACACACACACCACACACACACACCACACACATCACGAATTCCAGCATCACAATGTCTTTCTCACCAGTCTCTGGACTCATCGACTCGCAGTCACGTGCTCCGTGATGGATGCACACCAAATGCTTGCCACGTGTTCGCCTTTTTATAGTGGGGGGGGGGGGGGGGGGGGTGACGGAGTTTGGTGAAGCGGTGGGAAGGGAGGTGGCTCATTCCTAGGTTACATTGACCCAGAGTCCGTTCTAGGAAACTGATTAATGTCGATAATCACACTGGCTTACTTAAAACGCCGCGGCAGCAGTCGCGCGAACATTATTGTTGTTGTTATTGCTGCTGCTGCTGTTATTGAAATATCACAGCAGCCGCGCAAAAAGCCGGACACGCGAAGCACGCGCGGCATTAATTAATTGATGGCGATGCTTTCCGACCGCGCTATTCGCGGCGAAGCGCGTGCCCGCGTGCAGAGAGAGGGAGAGAGGGGCCCATGGCTTTGCGTGATTATGCGCACGTTTAATTAGCTATGGATTAATCGACGGAAGTGTCGGCGAAAATGCCTTACACTGCGGCAGCAAAAATAAAAAAAAATCAACGGGAACCTTACTCCAAGAGTCCAAGGTCTAAAGCGCGTTTACGTTTGGCACCCAACCACAACAGCAGCAGCAGCAGCGGCGGCGGCCTGCGGTCCTGGTGACGAGGAATGAACTGAGTCGCTCACTCCGTGCCCTGCCCGGTCCCCACCCCCAGTGCCGGATCCAGCTCGTGCGGGCGCTGCAGCAAATGTTATAAAGGGGCCCTAAATAAATAAATACATCTCGTTAATATTCAAACACAACATTTTAACTTGCACAGTGAAGTAATTGTATTTGTTTCCATTTGCTATACAGACAGATAATGCGACAAATCGCTAACCTTAATCAGCCAGTCGTTCGCAAAAGTCGAAGGCGGTATAGTACTATAGTAATAGAGAAAGTGCAGAATCACTGAGCCGGAATTGATAGGTTGAAAGCATTTAGCGCGGGGTCCTTGAAAGTGCGGGGCCCGTAGCTACTACATATGTAGTAGCTACTACATGTGTACTACAGTAGCTACTACACATGCAGCTACTTTTGCTACTGGGATAACCCGGCACTACCCCCCCCACCCCCCACTCTGTCGAAACCCGGTGCCTCCTCATCCTGGGCCCCCTCTGGCCATAACTTCGCTCCACCGGTCACTGCTGCCTTGTGCGAAGGGAGGAGCGGTGGGGCAGTGTAAATCGGGTCACCGGGTTCGCAGTGCGGTGCGCTGACGCACTCCTCGGCACCCCCGAGTATACCCCGACACGACCTATGTTGAACTTCTTTCGCGCCGTACGTAGCCAACCGCGCTCATCGGAGGCGCGTCGTGGAGGTGGAGGTGGAGGAGGGGGCAATAAGGACTAAACACAAAAAGAAAAGCGATCGACAAAGCGGCTGGAAATGCATTCATTATTATAATAAATACAAGGGGTTCGAAGTTGGAACATTTTGAAACTTGATTTGAACCACCAGGTAAGGTGCTGGCTGTTGTGTTGGCCGACTCTCTGTGTTGGATTGTATTTCTAAGTTCACTAGGTTTATTTTCTACCTGATGACGATTGCTTGTGTTGCAATCGAAACGTCGTATTCTATTATTTAATGTATTTTCTTTCTACGTGACTTTACCGAAAGAACCAAAGAGTGAAGTGATTTTCATTCGTATTGTTTTTAAATGTTCTTATATATTTTTTGCTTATAAACCAGAGCCCATCCCCCCCCCCCCATCGTCCCCCCCCCTCCCCCTTTATCGTTGTGAATAAAAAAAGAAATGCGTAATTAGATTCAGGCAAGAGAAGTGGGGAAAAATGAAAGGGACGATGTCGAAAGTGATCTTGGTGTTTAGATCCACGTCGGACAGTACCGCGGGCTCTCAAGCAGGCGGCTGGCAACCCCAACGCGCAGTTCGAAAGCTCGTCTCGAGATCGAGCCTCTAATGTGTTATAATGCGGCGTGGCGGTGACATCGAGAGGGGATGCGTGTGCTGTGGCATTGACGGCCACGCACGTGCGTTCTCCAGTCAACAAATCGGCCGGAAGGCGCACACCCCATCCCACCCCCTCCTCATCATATCTGTATGAAGCTCGGGCAGGGGGTGGTGTGGGGGGCATCGCCTGGTTAGTGCCTCGGATGGGTGACTATACCGGTGCCGGATTATTGTCGTAGTAGCACAAGTAGCGACACATGTAGTAGCTACGTGTCTAGTAGCTACATATGTAGTAGCTACTACACATGTGTAGTAGCTACTACATGTAGTAGCTACTACACATGTACTACACATGTAGTAGCTGCTACATATGTAGTAGCGACACATGTAGTAGCTACTACACATGTACTACACATGTCGTAGCTGCTACATATGTAGTAGCGACACATGTAGTAGCTAGGTGTGTAGTAGCTAGGTATGTAGTAGCTACATGTGTAGTAGCTACGTGTGTAGTAGCTACATATGTAGTAGCTACTACACATGTAGTAGCTACGTGCCCCGCACTTTCAAGGGCCCCGCGCTAAACGCTTTCAAGCTATCAATTCCGGTTCAGCGATTCTGCACTTGCTCTATTACTATAGTACTATACCGTCTTCAACTTTTATGAACGACTGGGTGTTAAAGGTTAGCGATTTGTCGTATTATCTGGCTGTGTAGCGAATGAAACAATACAATTACTTTACTATGCAAGTAAAAAATGTGTTTAAATATTTATGTTCATTATTTTTATTTTTTTGTTTGCTCTCTACGTGACTTTACCGAAAGAACCAATAATTTATAAACGTGTTTTTTTTAATGTAGGGCCCCATTAACCCGGCACTGGTGACTACGACGCACAGCAGAAAGTTGTTGTCGGCTGCTGCGAGACTGGGTGGTGGGCAGCAGCTGAGGGCCGCGTCGCAAATCCCATTGTTGCACTTTGCTCCCACATCCGTGATCGCCGCATGCACCGACACGCATGGTGAAGTATGGTCATATAAACCCCCACGACCCGCAAGGTGGCGGACTCCTCATCCAGCAGTGGATTGACACGTGTACGTGGTCTTTACGCATAGACAGTACGTGTAGCCCTTACAGACTTTTGGGCCAAGTGCTGTTAGTGAACAGCACCTATGAAGGCCGGCACCGCACACGAGGAGGTGGGTGGGAGGGTGGGTGGCCAACACCACGCTCGGTCGACGTTTCCTCCAGACTCAGGGTATTTACACCCCGCACCAGGTTACTAATTTGAGGCTGAGCCTACCTAGGGGAGGCCCAGAACCGGCTCAGATAATCGCCACTGGTGTTGGCCGTGAGCAGGATTCGAACTCGGGTGGCCGGGGTTCAAAGCGCAGCGCGCTAACCGCTGCGCCTCCGCTCTCTCTGTTAGAAACCGCACGCACACGCTGGGTCAACCGGCCTCGTGAACTTCTCACCGTCACATGCTCCATCTGGCAACCTCCACCCTGCCACGAGATGGCCTCCTCCTTCTCCGCGTCACTAGCCCCGAGTCTCTCGAAGCAGACGATGCGAACCTCCGCCTCTTCTCTGTCGCGGCTCTCGGGGTCTGGGATTCTCTCCCTCATCATCATCCTCCTCCTCCTCTCACTGCGCCGCATATCGGCGTCGGTGTCGAACGTCTGTCAACATGGGACGGCTTCTCCGTCCCTCTCTCTCTCGTTCTTTAATTGATTATCTCTCGCCCATCTCTTGAGTGTCCTTTTGAAGTTCAATGTGAGCGCGTTCTACAAATGTGTTCGTGAATGGACGAACGAACGCAAGACACGCGTGTTCACGTGAGCACCTGGCGTCGTCAGCCGGCGCATGAACAGCATCTAAAATTGAAGGATTTGTCTGGTACTCAATGCAGGGACTACTTTTCGGGAACTATTCATATGCTTATTTTAAAACATCAGATCTTTTTTTTCCTAACGTAATTCTCATCGGGCCCCATGATGTAAACAATTGCAGTCTGCATCTCTTATTTTCCACCGTCTGTCTGGTCTACAGTATGTATGTGCTATGAAGGGCCACTACCCGAAACGCCGTCTCTTATATATTAAGCCAGTGTTATTTAATGAACGTTTTGAGAGCTTTATTGTTGTTGTTTAATTGAACACACGCGCTTTCGTGCACGTGTCATATCTATCGTGAGTTGGATCAACATCAATCGACGGATCTGTGTATCGTTACACGCGTCGTCATTTGCAAGGGCACTGACATCGACATATCATGCCGTAATTTTGGGGCGATGGTGGGCGAGGCGGTGGAGCGGTTGCGCACTGCGCTATATGAACCCGGTGACCTTAATTTAATTAGATTCTGGTCACAGCCAACATCAGTGACGAGTTATCTCTCACCACCACTTGTGCTGCATGTCCACATTATATATTTAAAAAAAAAACACAATGTAATCAGCGTGGTGAAGTATGGTCAAACATTACGGACACGGAGCACGGTGCGACGCCCAGAGACCTTGAGCCCAGCAGTAGAACGGCAAAAAAGGTTGCCTTGTAATGGGAATCGGCGACATTTATTTGGCAGGCGCGGCGAGATGGGACGCGTGCGTAACGCGTGGGATGTCGCAAGCACTGACGACCCCGCTAACGCCAGCAGATCTCTACACTTCACACGAGGCGTTGTGTGCATCGATTTGCTATTTGTATGGATTAATGATGACTCACATAGGCGAAGGGGAGTACTGTACTGCCTTGCTTCAAGTACCACGCGCGTACAGCTCCACTGCTGGATGATTCCCCCCCCCCCCCCCCCGCTTTATGCGGGTCGTGGTGGGGGTTTATTTGATCATACTTCACCAAGTCGGTTAGTGCGGCTTTGTGAATTATGGGAGCACAGATGTGGAAGCATAGAAGTACTTTACAACGGACAACGATGTGGTGTGCTGAACTGCCCTCTGCTGCCCACGGGGTAGTGGTAGCGGTGAGCACGCTTCACTACGAACCGGGGCCACCCAAGTTCGATTCCCGCTCACGGCCAACACCAGCGACGATTATCTGAACCGGTCCCCCTGGGCCTCCCCTAGGTTGACTCAGCCTCAAATTATTACCTGGTGCGGTGTGTAAACATCGCCACGCGGAAGACAAAGGCGGCCGGGCGTGGTGCTGACCACCCACGCCCTCGTGTGCCGTTGCGGCTTTAATAGGTGCTCGCTAACAGCACTTGCCCAAACAGTTTGTTAAACGGCTCTCTGTCTGCCTACCGCGTCGCTCCACAGCAGTCAATCAATCCTTGGGTTTTATTTTTAAACGACGGTAGCCCATCCAATTCCCCCCACCCCTCCAAGGACTATCCAGGCCGTGCCGCCTGCTTAGCTTGCGAGATCTGCCGAGACTGAGTGATCCGGTCATTGGGCGCGTTCTAATGCGGTTACGGTTACTGGTTTGTCATATTTGGCGAACGTGGCGTATACATGTCACCGTGTAATTGCCTAGCTGCAGCCAGGAGGTGGCAGTATAGCGAACAGATGATCGAATCTGCGTTAGGTGCTTGCGAGTGATTTCCCCTCTCGCATGCACGGTGGGGGTTTCTCCTCCCACGCGAGACCAAACTTATCATTCGCGGAATTGGTCAATCATCCCAATGTGCTGGGACCTTCCTGGAAAAAAGAGTTGAGACTCGGGCTTCCCTGCCTAAAGAATAATGATTATTATTATAAACAATTCATAATGCATTGTGACCTTTGTCAATACACGACTCGGTAAAGGCCGCATTGCTCCATGGGGGCCGTCCATAAATGACGTCACGCACCTAGGGGGGGGGGGGGGGGTCAGACATTTGTGACGATGCGTGACGAGGGGGGGTGGGTTTGAGAAATGTGACGTCACATCAAAATTCGCAACTTTAAATAAATATAGACAACACGATCTACTTAATTAAATAGACTTCTTAATAAATGTTTTCTCCTACAAAATCAGAGTGCAGCGCCACGTTAAATACGCACTACAATGACAATAGTTTAAAGCGATTTGAAGCATGTTTTATTTTGGGGAGGGGGCAGAGCTTTGTGACGTCATATTTGAGGGGGGGTCTGACTTTTTGTGACGCCGTGTGAGGAGGGGGGGGGTCAAAAATCGTCGCGTGACGTCATTTATGGACGGCCCCTTGGGGGTGTTTGACCATACCTCACCGCGCTGGTTATTAGAGGATGGCGATGAGTGGTGGAGAGTGGGGACGGACGAGTTTAGCTATCACCCGTCACAGATGTTGACCTTTGCCCTGTTCACAGCTCAATGCGTGTGTGGGGGGGGGGGGTCTCTATTGAAACTGGAGTTGCCAGAAACCCATTTTGATCGAGTAAGGACAAATGAGAGGAAAAAATGAAAGCGCATGGCACGTGCAATTACACCGGGACCCTGGTCGCACGCGCGCCTCCTACACACGCACACGCCAACAACATTAACGCGACCCTAGAGAGGAGGAAAGCTGAGAGCGCGGAGACACCCGGACCCATATTCCAAAGGGGGTGACAGTCATCGCAGCCAGCCATCCCCTGGCCGCATCTTGCAGACGCATGCCTACAACGCCTGCCAAGTCCTGGCGGTCACCCATGCAGGTGCAAACCAGGCTAAACATATCTGCTTAGCTTGCGAGAATCGACGAAGAGACATCCACCGATTGTGGGTGATTGTGTCGTAGGCAGTGGTCGAGTGCTGTGGAAGTAAGGGTTGGTGGCTCCCCTCGAGATTTGTTAAACTCACAGACTTGCCAGGCTACGCGCGGTGGTCAGGAGATGGCAGGACAGCCGAGTGGATTCTTGTTATACAATTATTGTGCGGAGCATTGAGCGTTTCCCCTCGTAAGCGCCGTGGATTTTCTCCGGGCACTCTGGATTTTTTTCCCCAAACGAGGCCAAATACTTTCTTCACAAACACATTTAGCCAAACAACGCAAGAACGAAAAGAAATTTTAAAAAATGTCTTGAGACTCAACGATAAATACGTAACGAAAATAATCGTGATTTTTCAGCCATGGTCAATCCACTGCTGGATGAAGGCTTCCCCAAGCGACGTAGCAACTTCATTCACGCAGCACCTGCGCACGTGAGCTAATGTAATCGCCTTCTTTGGTTCTTTCGGTAAAGTCACGTAGAATGAGAATAAAATAATAAAATAAGACAATAAAATTCTCACGACGTTTCGGCCACAACACAAGTAGCCTTCATCAGGTGAAAGAACAGGACTGTCGTGTCGACAGTGCTCATTCTACGTGACTTTACCGAAAGAACCAAAGAAGATGAATCCCTGCAGTCACGAAAGCTTTAAATCGAAATGTAATTTAATTGCCCCACGTTCTCGGCAGGAGTCCTCTCGGACGCGTTGCGGTGCCTTGATCATTTGCACAGCGCACTGACGTGGCACGCAGCCTCATTGAGACTCTTTATAAACGAGACTTCGTCGCATTGTTTGACCGCCAGAGGGCTTCTGTAAAAGAAAAAGGTGTGAGGCTTCGACCGCTTTTTATTGGCTTTATCGTCACACCCCCTGCGAGGCGAATTACTTGGTTCACTGATAACGCTGGCGGGGAAGTGGGTCGCATGTTCGTAAGTGTGCTGCACCAGAGCTTCAGGCTGACCCTGTCCTATTAGCGGAACCAATGAACCAATTAACCCCTGGGCCATCACTTTCGGGGCGGGGGTGGAAGCTAAATGTGAAATATATATTTATATTTGTAACATTCCCGGATGTTAACAGTTGATGCATAAACGCAGCCTCGATTGCATTACAGTTGTGCCAGATTACAGATGTTCAGCCCTGCGACAGCACCATCAGCCACGACGAATGTGTCCGCATGCAGTCGTTATATACTGCACGTTGCATGCACGCCATCTCATCGCATGCTAATTGCCATCATTGATTTAATAACCTGCTCTGCAGCTTCACATCCCCAGCGCTGTTGTTTACCGCGGGATGAACACGTGTGTGTGCGCGTGTATCACGGTGTGTGCGCGTGTATCACGGTGTGTGTGTGTGTGTACTGTGGGGAGCGGTAGTGTAGCGGTTAGCACTACGCTGCGCTATGAACCCGGCGACCCGGGTTTGATTCTCGCTCACGGCCAACACCAAGTGACGATTTTCTGAACCAGTCCTGGGCCTCCCCTAGGTCCACTCGGCCTCAAATGAGGACCTGGTGCGGTGTGTAAACATCGCCACTGGGGAGACAAAGGCGGTCGGGCGTGGTGCTGGCCACCCACCCGCCTCGTGTACCGTGCCGGCCTTCATAGGTGCTCGCTAACAGCACTTGCCCCAACAGTCCGTTAAGACTATACGGGGGGAATCTTTATTTCTATCTCTTTGTAAGTACGTTTGGCTGTGTGGATATTGTGGAAGCGGTGGAGCAGTGGTTAGCGCGCTGCGATGTTCCATTCCCGCTGGGCACCCCCCACCCCCACCCCCCCAGGGTCGACTCGGCCTCAAACGAGAACCCGGCTGCGGTGCCTAAGACATCGCCACTCGGGGAGACAAAGGCGGCCGCGGGCGTGGTGCCGGCCACCCTCGCCACCCTGACTCGGTGCTCGCGAGCGGCACTTGCTCCACGACGCCGAGATCTTTGCCTGCGTGTCAACGCGTCCTAAGCACGCGCGCGCGCGCACTTCGGTGAC